CATTTCTCTTTTGTAGCACCATTCTCCGTGGCTGGCCTCGCCTCCTTGGATTAAATAATCTAGATCAATAATTTCAGCCAATCCAATGCTTTTCCAATGCTGCTCCAATCAGATGGTTACTCCTAGGCCATTTGCTGGGAACAGCAGTGTCTTCTGCTGCTATTGCTGGAGAAACACCTCGAGTGGCTGTCTGAGTTCTGAAGAATAGCAATGGTTTCAGCTGCAGGGCTAAAATGTAGGGTATATGGCACCCAGACCACTTCATCTCAACAAAGTGCTCTGGGTGCGCATAGTGTGCCTGTAAAAAATGGGCACAAAATGGGTGATGGCTGTAGATATATCCAAACAATGCACATCAGAGGAACTATAGCCATAGTTTAAAAAATACTTATGGAATGAGGGCAGGAGGTTCTGCTGCAGGAATGACTAAGCGATGAAACTCAGCAACTTCTATGAAGGGCTTACATACTCTTACCTTGGGGTTCAGATTTTTCTAAATAAGAGATTAGAAACTTTTAGACCATATCTGTCAGTAGGTCCATAATCTTATTATTCTCATTTTCAGCTCCGATCCCACATAGGGAGGGCATATCTGGCTTAAGTTATTCAGTTGTCACAGCTATCCTGGCTGCCAGTGTTATCTCGTCTGAGTGCAGGGGGAAAACCATTATGAAGGACCAGGGGTCAAGTTCAAATGGTCTGCAAAACACCAGTTGTAATAAGCCTTTCATACGGTGACAGAATTGAGCAATCATGGAGCAATGCCACCACATACGTATGTATTTTCCTTTATAACCACAACCCCTCCCATGCAGAATAATAATAAAATGCAGTTGTTTACCAGCAGAAAATAATTTTGAACATTAATTTCTGGAGGATCACCAACAGAGACACACTTTCAGCAGTTTACAAAATCTCTTCACATTGGCCCCTTACCTCCCCACGTCTGACTCGTATTGTGTATAGTGCAGATCTCCTCAGATCTTGGAATGAGAGAATCTGTGGAAATATATAGTTAAGATTAGATACTAACATGCAAATATCCTGAAAACACGGGAATACAAGGGGTGAGAATAATATTTACAAAAGGTGTTGCTCTAAATTATAAGTTCATTAACTAAAGAGGTTCTAGTTCCTATGAAATAGGTAGGAGAATAGTAATCAGTAAATTCCCCAAATATAGCTATAAGTAGAGTTGAGCGGACACCTGGATGTTTGGGTTTGCCGAGTTTGGCCGAACTTTGCTGAAAAGTTCGGGCTCGAACTTGACCCGAACTTGACCCCGAACCCTATTTAAGTCAATGGGGACCCGAAATTTGGGCACTAAAATGTCTCTAAATAAGTCCTGGAAAGGGCTAGAGGGCTGCAAAATGAAGTAAAATGGGGCTAAGAGTAGGACAAGTGCCCTGCAAACAAATGTGGATAGGGAAATCACTTAAAATAACATAAAATATATAAAAATTACAAATACAGCTGAGCCATAAAATAACACTAGATGGAATCTTTGATTTTAGCTTTGGAAGAATATAAATCAAAATCTAAAGCATGGCTGTCAGGAGGATCACCAGAATTATCCATTTGAGAGAGAGTTGGAGTGCAGGGTATTCTCTTTCATTGTTCAAACTGAGCTCAACTCCTGATGCATGGAGAAAAGGCCTTCACAAGCCTCTGCTATTGTGTACATAGTTTATACTAAGTGACCCAAAGGTTGAGGAGGCGGTGACCGTGGCGGTGTAGGTGGAAGCGGCGATGGAGGAGGAGGAGGTAGCCAACACTATTTTTTCTTTTTTTTTTTTTTTTTATTGGGGTAGCCCCCAAACATTTGCTGCCTGCGGTGCATTTCTTGCAGTCCAATAACGCCATCAGGTTTTTTAAACTGTCCGTCTCCACCAGACAGAATGACAGCATTTCAAAGACCAGGAATTTTGAAATGCTGGCATTCAGGGCCAGGGATCATGGGTGGGTAGGGGGGTACTTCCTCTTTCTCTCCAGTGTTTGGGAGATGGACAGCTGAACGCTTCCATGGGACAGTGTGGAGATGCTGGACAATTGTGTACCTGGCCTATGCTGGTGCAGGAACTCACCCTCCGAGCCACTTGTGAATGACTGGCCTGATAACCGTGGAAATGACCCCTCTTCCTCCTCCTCTTCCTCCTGTGCCACATCCTCTTCCATCATCACCCAAAGCGTTTTTTCAAGGAGACATAGAAGCGGGATAGTAAGGCTGAGAACGGCGTCAGCGGCACTGGCCATGTTGGTGGAGTACTCGAAACAGCGCAACATGGCATACAGGTCTTGCATGGAGGCCCACTCATTGGTGGTGAAGTGGTGCTGTTCCGCAGAGCGACTGACCCGTGCGTGCTGCAGCTGAAACTCCACTATTGCCTGCTGCTGCTCGCACAGTCTCTCCAGCATGTGCAAGGTGGAGTTCCACCTTGTGGGCACGTCGCATATGAGGCGGTGAGCGGGAAGGCTGAAGTTACACTGCAGCGCAGACAGGCGAGCAGCAGGGTGAGAACGCCGAAAGCGCGCACAGACAGCCCGCACTTTCTGCAGCAGCTCTAATATATCTGGGTAGTTTTCCAGGAATTTCTGCACCACCAAATTCAGCACATGCGCCAGGCAAGGGATGTGCATTAAACCGGCTAGGCCCAGAGCTGCTACGAGATTTCGCCCATTATCGCACACCACCAGGCCGGGCTTGAGGCTCACGGGCAACAACCACTCATCGGTCTGTTGTTCCATGCCTGTCCACAGCTCCTGTGCGGAGTGGGGTTTTTCCTCCAAACATATGAGTTTTAAAACAGCCTGCTGTCGTTTCCCCCTGGCTGTGCTGAAGTTGGTGGTGAAGGTGTTACGCTGGCCGGATGAGGAGGTGGTAGAGGAGGAGGAAGCAGAGTAGGAGGTGGAGGCAACAGGAGGCAAAGCTGTGTACCCAAATAAAGATTGTCAAACGTTGTATCCTGGAACTGTGTCCCATCCGGTTACTGGGGAAACAGGTCTGACCTATTATAATCAAAGGGGATAACCATTGGTTACCCAGGTCCTGCTTCAATTGGTGGCAAGCAGCAGGATCCCATGTCCCTGTCAACAGACCCATGGACTACAGTGCTCTAAAGCGACCTACACTGCAGGACTTGTGTGGAGCCAGAGGAATAACGCCTGGTGGGCGTAACAAGGCCAAATTGACTGCTGCACTCATGGAGGATGACCAGGCACGCAGTGAGGCAACGAACCCCAGCCAGGGGCCGCAGATGAGGAGGAAGTGCGCAAGGAGGTGGACCGGCACCTGGCATATTACTGAGAGCCACCCTCAGAGGAGATCATCTGCAGGACCTTTTTGGAGGTGCAAGCCTATTTCCTTGCCAATAGACAGAGGGCGACCTCCATGAACCCAGATGAAGGAAGAAGGGAGCAGAGGGCGCCAGGAAGCACAACCACCCTGGCTCACAAGCTACCATACAATGCCTTCAAAGAGTTCAAGGAAGCAGAAGAAGGCATCGATTACTTTTTTCAAGACTTTGAGTGCCAGTGCCTACTCCAAGACGTGGAGCCCAGCGACTGGGTCACCATCCTGGCCAGCAAACTAGTTGGGAAGACAGCGGATATTTACTGGAATGTAACAGCAGAGCAGATCAGAGACTACCCCTTTATTACACAAAATCCTCCTGGCCCGGTATGCGGTCACCCCCGAGCAATACCGCCGAAAGTTTAGGGAGATGCGGAAAGGGGAGAAGGACTCCCATGTGGAGTGAGCATGCTGCATCACAAGGGCCACCCAGAACTGGCTCAACTCCCATCAAGCTAAGTTCCCGGAGGAGATCACCCAGCTCATCATGCTAGAGCACTTTTTCAATGAGCTCCCCAACGACATGGCTGGTGAGAGACCGCCAGCCCCAGACCCAAGAAGTATTGGTATGAGCTGCTGAAGCTCACAATCCCCTTGGCAGGGGATTTGGGCAGGAGCTGGACAGAGTCTCCGCTCACCCAAAGTTCTTCTGGCCAGGCTTCTCTCAGGATCTGAGGCAGTACTGCCAGATGTCTGCCAGAGAGTGGGGAAGAGAAGGGACTGGCACAGGGCCCCCCTCCATCCCCTACCTATTAGTGAAGATCCATTTGGCAGAGTTGTAAAATTTTGCTAACCCAAGCACAATAACACTCAACGTAATCTAACTGAATGTTCCTACTAAGCAGTTTTCACTGTATTTTAGTTACTCCTTATCGATTTAACTATTTAGTCGAGCATGTTTAAAAACATAAAACTGTGCAAATTTTTATGCCACTGTTAAACTGTTGTGAATCTCGAAATACGCTGTTGTGGCGTCCGTTGATACCCTGTACTCACCTGCACAACAAAAATAAAGAATAATAAAAAAAAAAAAAGATCCAATTGGCAGAGTAGCTTTCGACATTATAGGTCCCCTAGCCAAGCCTAATACCTCTGGGAAGAAGTACATTCTGACCATCGTGGACTATGCGACTCAGTACCCTGAGCAGTATTCGGGCAGAGACTGTGACTGAAGCCTTGATGCGAGTGTTCTCCCGGATGGGTTTTCCCCGGGAGATTCTCTCAGACCAGGGTCATTACTGCCGAAATGACCCACCAACTGTGGAGATTGCACACATGAAATTGAGCTCCCCTTACCACCCCCAGACCAACGGCCTGTGTGAGCGCTTCAACGGTACATTGAAGCAAATGCTCTGTACCTTTGCGGCGACTCACAAGGATTGAGAGAGATTCCTGCCCCATCTCCTGTTTGCTTATCGGAAGGTGCCACAGGAATCAACTGGGTTCTCCTCGTTCGAACTGCCACACCAGGGAACTCCTTAGAGCTTGCTTTGGTATGCTCGGTTCCTGGGTGCGGTGGGCAGTAGCAGGCGTGCTGTCTAGGGGATGGCTGCTCTGCTTTTGCACCTTGCTCTAGGAGGAGGAGGTGGATGTGGATTAGGAGGTTGAGGAGGCAGTGACCGTGGCGGCGACGACGCATTCGGATGTCTGCCCTATCAACTTTCGATGTTACTTTCTGCGCCAACCATGGCGACCACAGGTAATGGGCAATCAGGGTTCGATTCCAGAGAGGGAGCCTGAGAAACGGCTACCACATCCAAGGAAGGCAGAAGGCGCGCAAATTACCCGCTCCCGACACGGGGAGGTAGTGATGATAAATAACAATACAGGTATCTTTCCAGGCCCTGTAATTGGAATGAATACACTTTAAATCCTTTAACGGGGATCTATTGGAGGGCAAGTCTGGTGCAGAGCGACTGACACGTGCGTGCTGCAGCTGAAACTCCACTATCGCCTGCTGCTGCTCGCACAGTCTCTCCAGCATGTGCAAGGTGGAGTTTCACCTTGTGGGCACGTCGCATATGAGGCGGTGAGCGGGAAGGCCGAAATTATGCTGCAGCGCAGACAGGTGAGCAGCAGCAGAGTGAGAACGCCGAAAGCGCGCACAGCTGCTACAGGGAAACTGCAAATGGCTCAATAAATCAGTTATGGTTCCTTTGATCGCTCCATCTGTTACTTGGATAACTGTGGTAATTCTAGAGCTAATACATGCCGACGAGCGCTAGGGGACGGCCGCTCCGCTTTTGCACCCTGCTCCCTCTTATGCTGTGCTGGTGCCTCTGTGCGACCACTGCCTCTTCCTCCAAACTGCACACTTTACTCGCATGACCTTCATTCCACGTGGGGTCTAGGACCTCATCATCCTCCACATCATCTTCCACTCAATCCTCAACCCTGCACTCCTTGCCGGTCTGCACACTGCAGAAAGCCACAGCAGTTGGCACCTGTGTTTTTCCAGCATGTAAAGTCTGCAAAGGACATATGGAAATTGTTTTAGAATTGTATCCAGGTAACAATTTTCCCTGTAAACTGACCTCTCAGTTTGACTTGTGAGGGTATTGCCCCAGAATTACAATATTGTTTAAGTACCTCTTAGCTATTGATAACTGGTTTAAATGTAGCAGCTTGTTAGCTGGTAGTTTCTAGTGTAGAAAATACCAATCTGTTTTCTATCACTTAGAACTGTTTAACAAGTGTTGTAGGTGTGAACCAATATTACAAGTGACCGATGTAGTAAATTCGAATCAAAGTTTGCAAAAAAAAATTCTCGCCCATCTTCTGTGGGTTATTGCATTTTTAAGATGTAGACTTATTGTATCACACTAGCCATGCACAGGTAGATTGTCTGGCACGTTGTTTTGGTGTTTGGTTTCTAACTTTGTAGTTGTGTCTTTACACAATAAAGAAATGTATATTAAAGCTTCTGTATATGAAGCGATCACAATAACATTTATTTTTCACTTTTTTAAAAAGTCTTTAGACTTTCTTGAGAAGCGGTAACTAGCTAGTGTTGCACACATACACCAGATATGAAGTGCACACCCCAAATGTACTATTTAGCACCTAAAGAATTTGAATGTTTAAAAATGCGCTGTAACCACACTATTTGACGGTTCTATTTGACTCTCAGAAATGAAGTGCAGGCCCCAAATGTACTATTTAGCACCAAAACAATTTGAAAATTTAAAACTGTGCTGTAACCACAGTATTTGACGGCTCTATTTGACTCTCAGATATGAAGTGCAGGCCCCAAATGTACTATTTAGCACCCAAAACAATTTGAATGTTTAAAAATGCAATGTCATAGCAGTATTTGATGGTTCTATTTGACTCTCAGATATGAAGTGCACACACCAAATGTACTATTTAGCACCTAAAAAATAGAAAATTTAAAACTGCGCTGTAACCACAGTATTTGACGGTTCTATTTGACGCTCAGATATGAAGAGCAGGCCCCAAATGTACTATTTAGCACCAAAACAATTTGACTTTTTAAAACTGCTATGTCACAGCAGTATTTGACTGTTCTATTTGACTTTCAGATATGAAGTGCACACACCAAATGTACTATTTAGCACCTAAAAAATTGCAGTATTTAAAAATGCCTAAATGTTGCCCACTGAGCTACCAGAACAAGATTAAAGTAATGTGCCTGGCACACATGCAATTGCAAGTGCACTGCACTCTCTGTGGCACTGGGCTCAGGGCAGGGAACAAAAATGTAGTATTATAGTACCCACAAAAATAATCGCTGTAGTTTGCAGATTCAACACCAGAATTATTTGCTAATCTGTCCCTTACAGCTGCAGCATCCTCTCCCTACACTAATAGGAGCTCATGTGTGCTACGTGACTCCAGCTTATATATTGAGGCTGGGTCATATGTTGCACTGGCCAATCACAGCCATGCCATTAGTAGGCATGGCTGTGATGGCTTCTCAGAGCACACGAGTCAAATGCTTGTTGATTGGCTGCCCTGCAGCCTTTCAAAACGCGCCATTAAATTGCCGAACACCGAGCTTCAACCTGAACATACACTGATATGTCCGTGTTCGGGTCCGGGGTCCAAAAACCGAAACGTTCAACTCTAGCTATAAGTAATCAAATTGTTAAATTGTATAAGCTACAGATCATAAGGATAGTTACTTTTCTATAGAGTCCGTAACTGGAGACAAATAACTAGCTAAGAGTATGTAACTATCTGTAACAGCTGTAGAGAAAGTAAATGTATCTTATATGAGCAAAAATCAAATGGAAGAAAAAAGGGAGATATCACCTAAATGTCTAGTTTGGATAGAACCAAACTAATGTTGAATTCCTATCGATACCACAGTGAGCAATCACAAACAATGAAATATAGAATAGTAGTGCATACAAATATTAAAATATAGTTTAGACTTGGATATCTTAGCTTAGAGTTAACCAAACTGAAATGTGAACTGTACTGATCAGTAGGTATAGCATGTAGAAGCCCCAATCTATAACACGGGTATTTAAGACATCCACTAAATAAATGTCTGGCAGTGGATAAATACCGATTTTTTTTTAGTTATGGGTAACCCTAAGTTTGTGCCTTCAATGGCACCTTGTATAATGCTAAGCTATAAATTTCTAAGTATGAACGATTTCTACAGATGCACTATACTCGCTGAACTCTTTCCCTGTCAACCCCTAAATTATTTTCTACGGACTATAGAAAAGTAACTATCCTTATGATTTGCAGCTCATACAATTTAACAATTGAATTACTTATAGCTATATTTGGGGAACTTACAGATTACTATTCTCCTACTTATTACATAGGAACTAGAACCTCTTTAGTTAATGTACTTATAATTTAGAGCAATACCTTTTGTAAATATTTTTCTCACCCCTTGTATTACCTTGTTTTCAGATTATCTAACCTTTTTTTTTAAATATTTATTAAACGTTATATTTTATGTGTCAAGTTTATTATGGACGTGATTTAACAAAGACAGATTATGTTCTTTCGTTTTTTCTATTGATGTTTTGATTATCCACCATCTTTCCTTTTAATGTCATAAGAAAAGATCGTGGCGTACTAAGGGGAGAGTGGGGGGTGGAGGTCCGCCCGGGTGCCACTCACTGGGGGAGGTGCCATGACCATGGTGGCCTTAGGATGTGTGAGCTGTGTGGAATGGACAGGTTGCCATGGAGGTCGCACAGCTCACACATGCAGGGGCAGGCAGCCACAGAACTTCAAAACTGCCGCATGTAAGAAAAATGGGGATGGCGCTAATCGGCAGTGGAGGCTGAATGAAACCGGCAGCGGGGGCGGAGCTAAACACGGCTCCCACACACTGCTTTCACTGCCGCACATCGAGGGAAAGCAAGGAGTCCCTGCTTCCCCAACTAACAGATTTAAGGAAGGGACTTCAGAGAATCCACTCCTTGAGCCCATACTGTCTGTAAGTAAGAGAGAGCGAGAGAGTGTGTGTGTATGTGTGTGTCTGTGACTGTGTGTGTGTGTGTGTGTGTGTGAGTGAGACTGCCTGCCTGTGACTGTGTGCGTGTGACTGTCTGCCTGTAATTGTATGTAACTGTCTGACTGTAACTGTGTGTGACTGTCTGCCTGTAACTGTGTTTGTGACTGTGTGAAAGTGATTATGTGCCTGGGACTGTTGCTAATATTGTTGTGTAAAAAAAAAAAGAATTCTATTGTAAAGGGGCTTTAGAGGGAGAGGACGTTTTTTGTTTTGGGAAGGGGGCTGCAAGAGTTTGTAGAAGGGCGACAGGGTTTTTGTATAATGGGGGCTGAGTAGTGGATATGTGGAAGGGGGGTGCAGGGGTTTTGTAGAACTGGGGTAGGACATGCGTTTTATAGAATGGCAGGCAGAGAGGGGTTTTGTAGAAGGGGCAGGAGAGTGTTTTTCAAAATTTACACATTTGTGCAATTTTTAAAAATGAAAACATTTTAAAAATATTGTGGGTGTTTTTCACAATTTAAAGTGCAGGGGTGAGGGGGTGGGCGCGGGGTGCCAAACACAGGATCCAGTACATCATTAAATGTAGAGGATGCAGGTTATGAGACTACATATCTATCGTACCTAGGTCAATGTCTTTGATATGTCAAAATAAGAGGTAATATACTGTGTTTGCCATACACCTACTTCATCGTTTTTTAGATCAAGGGCAATGACTAAGATAGCTGATTTATATCATTTGTTTTCTGGCATCTGGATCTGTTTGCACAATGACTGCACAATGATTCGAAACACCACAGCCTGCATTGTATAATGAAATAAATCAGCATCCTTTTCCAGATCAGCCTCCTTTTCCAATGCTCACAAATGGAGTTACATAAAATCGGCTATATATGAGAAGAAAGTCTTTAGGAATGAACAATTATGCTACCAGATCATCTTCCAGATGGTCTTTGATACAAAAATATTGTTCACCAGTGTGCTTGGAGCATTTTCTGGGAGTGCCCATAACACATTTGCTATTTGTTCAATATGTACACCTGTTCACTTGATATTAACTTGTCTGAATAGCATTAAAGGTTCCTTTTTCCAAATGTATAACTATGAACAGTGCAAATGGCTCCTGATTCTTGTGACAACCCTTCCACCTCAGCAGAGGTGAGATGCAATAAGGCTCACAATAGGACCAGGAATTTTATATAAGGGACTTTTGGTCTATATTTTAGGCAGGACTTAGGTTTAGTTTAAAACTCCAAGTTACACTCCATTGCAATCCTGGGTGT